CTACCGAAATCCAATAATATACGGTATACATAATATATAATGTATTGTGTATAGATACATACACTTGTATTATATGATCATATATATTAGTTTCATATTTTATATACAGTACATAGCAAATATTGATGCCGTATATGCTTTGTCTCCTCGTTTACAAGAGCGGTTTCAATTCACGCAAGCTCGTTATAACGGATATATTTAACATTCACCACTTTTGTGTAGCCGACCTTGCTGGACAATGTACATATAACGGGTTATGGGCTAACGTTTTCAATACACATTAATGAAACAAGAAAACACTGTATTAGGCACGCCTTAGTTTGTCTACAGAGACAGGCTATACACGGGTTATATACTATACTGCGGAGCATGTTTTATGTATCCTAACCTACCGGCAATGAAACTTTTTTGTTTAGCTATTGTTGATATTCTCTTTGAGACACACATTCTCACGACAAAATGGCAGATCAACCAACAAGGCGACGTACCTAACAATCTCAATTAATGTAAGATTCTTTGTAATCAATACAATCCTCTCGACATCACTGCGCACAGCAAGCGCAACACCCCCCCCCCCATGGGAGGTCCACCCCTCCCTCCCTCCCTCCCCAGGCACCAAGCCCCACAGGACCTTGCTACAGGCTACGTCTAAGACCCACACATCTCCCTTGAAGACACCAAACGTAAAAACACTCTTAAACGTGAATTACACTACAGGATATCAAGGTTATTTTTACCACCCATATCTGATAGCATCGTCGAATAATTGAAATTGAGACTTTACTATGGAAGGTGTATGTAACTCTTAGTAAGCACTGGTATGGTAATATGTTGGTGGATAAAAGCATTGCTTATATACAGGTCATACTTCGCATGACGCTACACACCTACTGCCGTTTTTATTTTAGGAACAAGTACACTACAACAAGCTACCGATCACTGAAGAAAATGTTTAAATAAATGTTTGAAGTACTTCAAGCGAGTAACCAACCTGGACAAATCTAATATACTAACATTGTAAATCTTGAAAATACTAAAGGTCTCGCAAGCCTGCTAAAATATTTAGTGGTAATCGTCTACAACCACGTGAAAATCTTGGAGATAATTGACGTAGAGGTAAGGCACAAGCCCGACTCCTGTGAGACCAGCTACACCACAACCACCCCCTCACCCCCTCCTGTCATCGCTGTTGCGTAGGCACTCAACTCACGCCAAACTTTCATAATCCCACCTTTCCTAATTACATACAGAACCAAGATTCTGCATGGCCTCCATGTCCCACACACAACTAACAAGAAAGGATCCAAGCATGTTCACTTCCCGTTAGACGGGAGGCGGTCATTCCGGAGCCCACACCAACACGCAGGACGAGGACATAACCCCCACGGCCCAGGAAAGAGTAACCCACACGGACCTTCCCTCCCCTCCTCCCCCTCCGCGAACGGGAGGCAGCATATCCAACAAGAACAGTGGGGGAAGGGGAGGACGGGGAGGGGGAATCAGACATGCTCTAAAATAAGCGATAGAGGCCAGATACCGTCCCGACGGATCGATAGCAACTACGACTCGACAATCAAGATCGGCGAAGGAGAATAGTTGACCGACCTGATGGATTATTTACAATGAATATTTCACAGGGCAAGCAAGGAGGGGCGAGGCGTGGTGGTGGTGGTGGTGGCCGACTACCAACGTGACTGGCCAGACCTCACTCACTCTGGACTGTGGCTAGTCCACATCCACCGTTGTCCTCACACAACCCCCGACACAAAAATATTTAACACATATGAGATCTACGGAAAACTGGAGTGCCTAATCAATGAGAAACTAACCGAATTTTATAAAAGTTTTTCTTTTGTTACACTGGTTTGTTTAGTGGTAAGCTGTGTATTTAGCATAGCTCATTATAAAGACTGAGCTACTAGTCATCCTCTAACATTTCAGTGTAGAGCATTATAAATATGAAGTGGTGGAGCACGGTGCTATTCCACTGCCACTATCCTGATTAATTCTCTAAATATTATTACTAGATAGCCCGAGCCAATTGTGTCTTTTGTTTGCTTGTTCCACTTCATTCATCAACACTTGGGTTTCTCGCGGTTAAAATTAGTCGGATCGTCTTCTATTTGCTAGGGAGAACTCTAATCTATACAACATTACAATAATTCTAGCTTAATCATGCTTTCGACGATTAATCAAACAAGCAAATATTATTCGACTAAATAATTTCGAATCTTTCAAACGTCATATCCCAACGCGGAGAGAAAACATTAGGTCTCCTCCCCAGCCCGTCTCCCGGCAGCCACACACCTTTCTTGTGCACTGCAGCTCACCACGCCACGCGGAACTTAAGTTAGCGACAGTGGCATAACCTATACAACCAAAATTTATAATGTCTGAACAACTTCTGAGGCGTGTTTTATAGTTAAGCAGGTTTAATCGTTAAATATAGATGCCAATATGAACAAATTTAAATGTCCCCCCCTCTTATACAGCCCATGTTAATATTTAATTCCGTAAAATAATTTCTCCCGCCAAATTAAATTCCCAGTCAAGCTAATGATGTACATTTCCCATCGGATTGTTTTCGCGGATTCTACTCATTTAAGTTTGCTTAATAAAGACTAGCAGACTGATAAGGTTATGATGCTGATATAGCAATATAGGTATACGTATAGCGCTTGTGTGAACGTGGAGACCTGGGCGAGGGTGTATCGCTGTAACGGGGTTGGAGGCCACACAAGGGCTGGGGACGAGAGCGGGGCGTGGAGTGGGGGACGGCAGACGTTACACATAAACTACAACATTCTTCTTAGCTCCACGGCTCCTAACCCAAACGCTTACATGAACAATTGATATTCACCAAGAATATCATTGAAAATGAGGTCATAAATGAGTAGCGTTGCGGTTGTGCACAGCCATGCGCACCACCTACAGGAAAGGATTGATAAACCTCGCCAGTTCCTGCACCAATTCGGGAAATAAAAAAATATTTGAAGAATCTACCCCGACCGTAACCGGCAAAAAATCCTTTTTTTTTTTTTACCTGGAGAAGTGTACTGGTAGCATGGCATGAGGCCAGTGTGACCCAACGCACACAATATGCTAAGTTTGTGGAATTATATGAAGGAGAGCGATGTGGTCCCGTTAGAGCGACACTGCAGTAAGCCCAGCCCAAGTATGCCAGAGCTACGCGCCCTGTCGCCAACCAGTTGATTCATCACGCATATCAACACGGACCGAATAAATATAACAAATACCCAACACAATGAAGAATTGCGGACTAAATACGGTAGTGTCTAGCCTCGAGCCCTGGGCCGGGTGTTGCAGCATGAGAGAGAGAGGTCAGCTATTCTCCTGCGGGGTCACGACCAGAGACCTGCCCGCTTGCCCATCGTCATTGGTGCAACAATACTGGTGAGCAGCGAGAGAGCCTCACGCTGGCCAGAGGCCCACATGTGTTATTGTAGGGAGGGGGAGACGGCGTCAGACACCCTATAACCTGCCAACTATGTTGCCCCAACACCCGTGTTAGAAGGTGAGGACGACGACGACGACGCCTCCTTGAAAAGTCATCATGCATAGTGTATGGCGTCATCATATACATGGCACCACCGCGCCGAGACTAGTGTGGCAACGCCGCACTGATCATCATCTACTTCTCTACGGCAGACAAGACAATAACACTAATTCACAAGGAGCAGGAATAAATATTTTATACATTATAACTGCGTTAATAACAATTGGCCGGCGAATTAAAACACCAAGAGTGTACTATTCTGCAGGAGAGAGAAAAAAGGTTAGAGGTGAGGAGTGATGGACACATAAGAAGCAGGGCATGATTAATACAACTGGAGAGGTCAGGTCGCTCCAGGTGACCCCTAGTGATACTTGACCCCACTACAGATTACTGTCTACACTGTCTACACTGTACACTCCTTAAGCCATCATATGGCATGGTATTACTTGCCCGAAACACTGTGCGTATTAGTGGCTTTAGGTATTGTATGAACTTGCTCTATCTATAAATATAACATTATGTGTGTAACTCTTCTTCAATGTATGTACTTTTACCTGAATAAACATTTTGATTTTTTGATTTGATATAAATGGACAGCTTGGTGAGCCTGACGAAGTGAACATCGATTCGTACGAGCAACACATGTAAGCGCACACCTGTGCCAAAATGACACTTGCGCACCCTTATATCTAGCGAGGCACACGTCGCCTCACCACACACACACACACACACACTCAAACCAATTCTTTATGCAATTTCACTACTATATTGTTCCTGAAAACCTGCTGTTGTTACCATGGCCGTGGTGGAGTGGTCAACAGTCTTCACTATAGGTAATGGTTTCTCACAGCCTCGGGTTACCGCTGCTGTGGCTCATAGTTTACACTTTTAACACTGAAATCACAGTGCCATGAAATATCTTCACCGTATTGTTGCACATAGTAACTACATTTTCATTTCAGCACTAGTTAAAACACTGCTGTAACATTAAAGTTTTTCAACACTTTTGGTAGTTGTTGAGCGCGCGCACACATCAACACTAAGGTCTTGCAAAGCTTGCTTCTTGCTGCAGTAACTTGCTGTAATCCATGAAAACGACCTGTAGTTGAGGGATAAGTATAAATTGCAAGGTGCAGGCTGCAGGCTTAGCATTGGGGCCTCAGACTAATTTGCCTCATACTGTTAATCTTAAGCAACTGAATCATCAGTCAACACCTCATTCATCTCTTCATGCTGGCTTTCACAATTCCCAGATTAACAAGCCAAACCATTCACAAGAAAATGAAAAAAAATGATGCAGCCAAAACAGTCACAGTTGTAATAGTTTTATTCACCACGAAATATGATTTATTTTAATCATAATCGCCATAAATCCATGTTTTTTGTATCATTCGGTTTGCAAGATTCAGTAATGAGGCAAGACAGCTAGACCCTGCTAAGCCACCAGACTTTCAAGCAAGAGCAGACAGTGTACTGTACTTACTTCTGAGAGGAAGGTCTGTGCAGCTTTCTGGGCACCAACATGGAGCAAGTATTCGTACACATACAACGCCAATCTAGAATAAAATGAAAAAAAATAATTGAAAGGTCACAAGAATATAAAACTATAAATTATATTGACTTTTACCATGCTTAATTAATAACACTCGCAGGAAACATCAGAATCCAAGCCAATATTTTAGTGAAAAGTTCGCAAAAATAACAAATTCATCATTATTGGTTGTATGGCGCTACACTTCACTACCTACTGATGCTCTTCGTGGAGCTTGTTACCTCAGAGTATATATTTGGAAAATTACTTAGTTACAATATAGGAGACATCAGCGTGGGAGTACAAACATATACATTTTGTAAGTGTGAAGATGCCAAGCTGTGATAGAGTGTAAGGACAACAAGAGTGTGAGAGGCGTGAGTGTAGGCTTGGCCAGGGCCGCCCTCCTGCCCCCCACATCATCCATATTTACCTACTGCCACCCCACACACATAACATGTCTACCACGGAGTCTGAGGAGGTAACCCAAACCTATATTTACGTGCTCATATTACTCCAGTTGAGAGTGACACAGCCAACTCGGCATCACACTATCTCGTGTGCTTTGTATCTTACATTTAAACCTCCCGCCAAAAGAGAAGCGGCAAGCGTCCCTGACTAACACTGCTCCCTCTACATTGGTGAGGCCATGCGGTTTTCTCCCTCTCATAGCCTCAAACAATATTACATCCGTAGTTCACTCTCACTAACAGTAAGTTAACTTCACTTGAGCAGCAGAGGGAAAACACCAGCAATATCAATGGCTGTGAAGGGGAGGCTGAGCGCTTGCTGGAACAGCTACTATCACTCCTCCTGCTACATCACCAAACCGCTTGTTCGCACCTCGTAAATACACACTATTTTCATTATTTCATCCTTGCCAGATTAGCGACCACTAACACTCTCCTACGGAAGGCCACAACATCACATAATTTTTCTCCATTGAAGAAGTTTCACTTACTTTTCCCTGGCTTGCGCATCGGAGGGCACGGACGAGCCCTTCCCCTTAGCGTACATGTTGAACACTGTACTGTAGCCAAGTCGTCTCGGGAGCGGGGGAGGGGAGGGGCGGGGAGGGACGCCGGGAGATGAGTGGGGGGGACGGTTGCCATGACGACCACCTAACGCTACCTCCTCATTGGCTGGAAAGCTTACCTGGGGGGAGTGGCGGGGGTGCGCACGTGGGATGCTAGTTAGTCTTGTTGTTGTCCTATGCTTGTGACAGTATTTCAAACTCTCTTCATTGCAGCCCCTCGCTAGAGTATATATCTATAATCATATACTTCACAACCAATACAAAGTCCTTAAAACGATTAGGATAAGTTATATAGAAAGAGAATTAACTCTGACAATTTGGCATAACAATGCCAATGCCGCTAACCCCATAACTAGCTGATGAGAGCGTCCTTCTGACATACATTAGTATTGTTTTTTTCCATAATATCATTACATTTAACAATTTAAAAAGACAGCCAATCATTAATCAGCATTAGGCCTATACATATATCATCACACTGTGCATTTTAAGTAACAAAACTGTATTTATTTTAATATTATTAATATCTAGAGGCTTGTGAGCGAGTGATACTATGAGCAGCAGGGTGCTGCTTGACAGAGCAAGTGGAACCTCAAAATGTTGGGTGCACTTGTGTAGGGAGGTGGTGGGCCGCGCCGCCGCCCACTGTTTATGGCCCACCCTGCCACCACCCTGTGTTCATGGCCCACCCTGCCACCACCCTGTGTTCATGGCCCACCCTGCCACCACCCAGTGTTCGTGTCCCACCCTGCCACCACCCTGTGTTCGTGTCCCACCCTGCCACCACCCTGTGTTCGTGTCCCACCCTGCCACCAGTGTTCATGCCCCACCCTGCCACCACCCTGTGTTCGTGTCCCACCCTGCCACCACCCTGTGTTCATGGCCCACCCTGCCACCACCCTGTGTTCATGGCCCACCCAGTGTTCGTGTCCCACCTTGCCACCACCCTGTGTTCGTGTCCCACCCTGCCACCACCCAGTGTTCATGGCCCACCCTGCCACCACCCAGTGTTCATGGCCCACCCTGCCACCACCCAGTGTTCGTGTCCCACCCTGCCACCGCCCTGTGTTCGTGTCCCACCCTGCCACCACCCTGTGTTCATGGCCCACCCTGCCACCACCCTGTGTTCATGGCCCACCCTGTGTTCGTGTCCCACCTTGCCACCACCCTGTGTTCGTGTCCCACCCTGCCACCACCCAGTGTTCATGGCCCACCCTGCCACCACCCAGTGTTCATGGCCCACCCTGCCACCACCCTGTGTTTATGGCCCACCCTGTGTTCGTGTCCCACCCTGCCACCACCCTGTGTTCATGTCCCACCCTGCCACCACCCAGTGTTCATGGCCCACACTGCCACCACCCAGTGTTCATGGCCCACCCTGCCACCACCCTGTGTTCATGGCCCACCCTGTGTTCGTGGCCCACCCTGCCACCACCCTGTGTTCGTGTCCCACCCTGCCACCACCCAGTGTTCATGGCCCCCCCTGCCACCACCCAGTGTTCATGGCCCACCCTGTGTTCGTGTCCCACCCTGCCACCACCCTGTGTTCGTGTCCCACTCTGCCACCACCCAGTGTTTATGTCCCACCCTGCCACCACCCAGTGTTCATGGCCCACCCTGTGTTCGTGTCCCACCCTGCCACCACCCTGTGTTCGTGTCCCACCCTGCCACCACCCAGTGTTCATGGCCCACCCTGTGTTCGTGTCCCACCCTGCCACCACCCAGTGTTCATGGCCCACCCTGTGTTCTTGTCCCACCCTGCCACCACCCAGTGTTCATGGCCCACCCTGTGTTCGTGTCCCACCCTGCCACCACCCAGTGTTCATGGCCCACCCTGCCACCACCCAGTGTTCATGGCCCACCCTGTGTTCGTGTCCCAATCTGCCACCACCCTGTGTTCGTGTCCCACCCTGCCACCACCCAGTGTTCATGGCCCACCCTGTGTTCGTGTCCCACCCTGCCACCACCCTGTGTTCGTGTCCCACCCTGCCACCACCCAGTGTTCATGGCCCACCCTGCCACCACCCAGTGTTCATGGCCCACCCTGTGTTCGTGTCCCACCCTGCCACCACCCAGTGTTCATGGCCCACCCTGCTACCACCCAGTGTTCATGGCCCACCCTGTGTTCGTGTCCCACCCTGCCACCACCCAGTGTTTATGTCCCACCCTGCCACCACCCTGTGTTCGTGGCCCACCCTGCCACCACCCAGTGTTTATGTCCCACCCTGCCACCACCCTGTGTTCGTGGCCCACCCTGCCACCACCCAGTGTTCGTGGCCCACCCTGCCACCACCCAGTGTTCATGCCCCACCCTGCCACCACCCAGTGTTCATGGCCTACCCTGCCACCACCCTGTGTTCATGGCCCACCCTGCCACCACCCTGTGTTCATGTCCCACCCTGCCACCACCCAGTGTTCATGTCCCACCCTGCTACCACCCAGTGTTCATGGCCCACCCTGCCACCACCCAGTGTTCGTGGCCCACCCTGCCACCACCCAGTGTTCATGGCCCACCCTGCCACCACCCAGTGTTCGTGGCCCACCCTGCCACCACCCAGTGTTCATGGCCCACCCTGCCACCACCGTGTTCATGGCCCACCCTGCCACCACCCAGTGTTCATGGCCCACCCTGCCACCACCCAGTGTTCATGGCCCACCCTGCCACCACCCAGTGTTCGTGGCCCACCCTGCCACCACCCAGTGTTCGTGGCCCACCCTGCCACCACCCAGTGTTCGTGGCCCACCCTGCCACCACCCAGTGTTCGTGGCCCACCATGCCACCACCCAGTGTTCGTGGCCCACCCTGCCACCACCCAGTGTTCGTGGCCCACCCTGCCACCACCCAGTGTTCGTGGCCCACCCTGCCACCACCCAGTGTTCGTGGCCCACCCTGTCACCACCCAGTGTTCGTGGCCCACCCTGCCACCACCCAGTGTTCGTGGCCCACCCTGCCACCACCCAGTGTTCATGGCCCACCCTGCCACCACCCAGTGTTCATGGCCCACCCTGCCACCACCCAGTGTTCGTGGCCCACCCTGCCACCACCCAGTGTTCATGGCCCACCCTGCCACCACCCAGTGTTCATGGCCCACCCTGCCACCACCCAGTGTTCGTGGCCCACCCTGCCACCACCCAGTGTTCATGGCCCACCCTGCCACCACCCAGTGTTCATGGCCCACCCTGCCACCACCCAGTGTTCATGGCCCACCCTGCCACCACCCAGTGTTCATGGCCCACCCTGCCACCACCCAGTGTTCGTGTCCCACCCTGCCACCACCCAGTGTTCGTGGCCCACCCTGCCACCACCCAGTGTTCGTGGCCCACCCTGCCACTACCCAGTGTTCATGGCCCACCCTGCCACCACCCAGTGTTCATGGCCCACCCTGCCACCACCCAGTGTTCATGGCCCACCCTGCCACCACCCAGTGTTCATGGCCCACCCTGCCACCACCCAGTGTTCGTGTCCCACCCTGCCACCACCCAGTGTTCGTGGCCCACCCTGCCACCACCCAGTGTTCATGGCCCACCCTGCCACCACCCAGTGTTCATGGCCCACCCTGCCACCACCCAGTGTTCGTGTCCCACCCTGCCACCACCCAGTGTTCGTGGCCCACCCTGCCACCACCCAGTGTTCGTGGCCCACCCTGCCACCACCCAGTGTTCATGGCCCACCCTGCCACCACCCAGTGTTCATGGCCCACCCTGCCACCACCCAGTGTTCGTGTCCCACCCTGCCACCACCCAATGTTCGTGGCCCACCCTGCCACCACCCAGTGTGCCTGCTGATGTGGGCGACTCAATAACTGGCCAATGTAATGAAATGAAAATATTATGTATATATATTACTTGTGTGGGGCTAAAGTGATAATTGGATTAATAAGCTATCAAAAGTGTATGTGCTGAAGGCATTAATGCCGATTTCATTAAGTTTTATTGCCGTGGAACGCAGGAAAGTTAAGAACACGTACAATGTTTATGTTACTTTTTGACTTCATAATTATGTTCATACATTACCTTTACTTTGTGATGGTTTCGGGGTTCAGGGTCCTCGCGGCCCGGTCATCACCTAGGCCTCATCGTCGCTGGACTGGTCGACCAGGCTGTTGGAGCGGCTGCTCGCGTCATGACGTATGATTCACAGCCTGGTTGATCAGGTATCCTTTGGAGGTGCTTATCCAGTTCTCTCTTGAACACTGTGAGGGGTCAGCCAGTTATGTCCCTTATGTGTAGTGGAAGCGTGTTGAACAGTCTCGGGCCTCTGATGTTGATAGTTCTCTCTCAGAGTACCTGTTGCACCTCCGCTCTTCAACGGGGGTATTCTGCACATCCTGCCATGCCTCCTGGTCTCATGTGCTGTTATTTCTGTGTGCAGGTTTGGGACCAGCCCCTCTAATATTTTCCACGTGTATCTCTCCCGCCTGCGCTCAAGAGAATAGAGATTTAGGCATTTTTGTCGGTCCCAATAGTTTAGATGTTTTACATAGTTGATTCTAGCAGTAAAGGATCTCTGCACGCTCTCCAGGTCAGCAATTTCTCCAGCTTTGAAAGGGGCTGTCATTGTGCAGCAGTACTCCACTCTAGAGAGCACAAGCGTCTTGAAAAGTATAATCATTACTATAGCATCTCTAGTTTGAAAAGTTCTTGTTATCCAACCTGTCATTTTTCACGCAGTTGTGACGGCTACTTTATTGTGTTCTTTAGAGGTAAGGTCTTTCGACTTTATTACATCCAAATCCTTTACATTGCCTATTCGTTCTGTGTTATGATTTGACCGAGTTTTGTACGTGGTTTCCGTTTTTATATTTTCATTTTTCCGTAACGCATGAGCTGGAACTTATCTTCATTAAACACCATATTATTTTCTGTAGCCCACTGAAAAACCTGATTTACATCTGATTGGAGGTTTGCCGTGTCCTCTATGTTGTCTATTCTCATGAAAATCCTAGTGTCATCTGCAGATGATGATACAGTGCTATAGGTTGTGTTCTTGTCTATGTCCGATATGA